TAAACATTAATTCATATTTTATTTAAAATAAAAAAATATAAATAAAATTAAAATGCAGCTCCTCTGAATAAGGACAACCAGTCTAAAACCAATGTTCTCAATCAAAGATGGAAGTTCTCAGGAGGTATTATTCATAGGTAAATTTTTAATCAAATATTAATTAAATAATTTAAATAATTAGATAATTAATGTAAAATTAGGCAGTATAGTGGCACAGTTGGTAGGGCAACATATTGCCTCTATGGACGAAGACTTTGGATCAACTTTCTGTTCTGTGTTTACATGTTCTCACCATGCAGGAATGGGTTTTCTCCAGGTGCTCCATTTTTCTCTCACAGACCAAAATCATATTTATTTAAACGACGTAAAAAAGCAATAACTTAATAGTTTGGGATAACACTACAGTAGATGTAATTTGTAATTGTGCTTGTTTTGGTCTTTATTTCCAGTTTTGGGGTTTTATAATCACAGGTTTTCTTCACAAAAGTAAACATCAACAAGCAAATAAAAATTTTATCATACATAAATGAAGGCTTTAAAATTTAAACAGCTTGTTCCTTGTAAAAGTATTTAAAGTATATATTTTGACATTTTTTAATAAAATGACAGACGTCACAGCAGTCATTTTTGAAGGGAAGTTTCTCCATCACATTTAAAATTTAATTAATTTGAACCTCCACATTTACCATAAAATATTACTTCACTCAGTGCTGTTTCATTCCAGTTTCATTCCACTTGATTTATAGAAGTGTCACATCAAGAGTTTTCCTATTGTTGTTTCTCAAAGGTCTGTTTAACAACCTGTTAATATACTACAGAATGCAGGAAATGGCATTTACTTTTTTCAAAATTTTCTAGGGGAGGACCCCCAGACCCCCCTGCCAGTGGGCCACCCCGACATTGCAAATACTTCTGATGCCACTGAAATATGTAAAAATGTAAGGACAATTTATGGTACTCATGTATAAAGATACGAGACAAGTTATAAAATGACTGCTGTGTAAGTGCAGATAGTTTGGATTCTTGTTTTTTGTTTCTGAATGTCACAAAATCAGTAATAATATCTGTAAAAATTACAAATTAACTGTTGGCAAATCCATAGCTTTATATGGCCATAGTTTTTAAATTGTCAGTTTTACAATCACAGTATAACACTCTGTTATTCTGCAGGTGCCACTGCCCATTAGTGCTAGTGGGAACTATGCGCCCACCACAAAGACCATAGCTTAGAAACCAATTTAATTCAAGATGTATTGATCAGTTAAACTGAAACAAACTCTTATAAAAATATTCTGATATGTAAAAACAATAATTATGCCTGTTTTCTAAAAGCAGATTTTGCCTAAACATCTAAGACATCTAAATGGTACTGAAATTCTGATTGGAGGAAAATGCGGCAATACCTTGTGTGACCACACGAGGGCGTCCACAATTACAGTGAGGAGCAAACATTCATCAATTACTGGTTTCGAATTTTGCTCGTAACGTAACAAAATCAGGAAAACAAGTAATTTAAAATTAATGGACATAAAAAACACAACTTTACGCTTTGCTTTTGGTTGTCATTATGCTGCGAGACGAACTTGCGTTCATTCTAAGGGTGCGATCAGGAGCCGCCTCCTCCGCGCACTGACTTCTGGGAAATCGAGTCCACGCTCTCAATAATTCAAGCTCTCATTCCAGTCTCCTGCTCCACTGCTAAACAAGATGCCGGCCGTACATCACAAGCTGCTCCTGGAGGACGCCTTGCAGGACAGTCCCCAGGTAGGCCTGCCCAGGTTTTTATTACGTTTCGGGGCCAAACTGCCTCAATAAATGCGGTCCGATAGGTGCTGGAGTTAGCTTAGCTCGGGCAGTTTTGCTCCCGTTGTTGTAGGCTGTTTCCACTGGCTGATGACAGCTCTCCGTTTACACATTGTTGTGAAAATATAACAATTCCCTGACAGCAGGGGCAACGCCTGCGCTCTGTAAACAGTGTTTTATTGATAAATGTAGCATGTATTTGTTTGAGCGTGTGTTTAAAGCATTTAGGAACAGTATCTCCGTCACTTGGGTTGTCTTAAAGGCTTCAGGGAAGCAGCTGGAATCCCCCTCTACAAACCTTTTTCTTCCACTCTGACATATTTAGATATTTTGGTGTTAAATTTTGTTCTGGGCCTGATTCACATTTTCTGCTTTCAGTAGTCAGCAAAATATGAGTCACTGAATTAATATTGCTGTGTCTACGTGTTTTAAATGCATCACAGAGCTTATTCAGCAAGACACAAACCTGAGTTAAATTACAGAAACACATCTAATACAGGCTGTTTTCTGTTGATTGTTGCATTATTCTGCTTCCAAAACGGATGCTTTTGTTTTGTTTCTAAATAATAATAAAAAATTAGCTGTAAAATTTACAGACAATGATGACAATGTTATTTATTTATGATATGAGATGCTGTAAAGTGTGTAAAGCAAAGGACCTTCCTGCCTTATCTGTACTTCCTTACCACACCTATTTGGGGGAAAAGCTTCACTCAGACAGGACTTTGTTAGTTTACATATGCAGCCTGCAGTAAATGGCACGTCAAAGCTGCAGCTCACTGCCACAGATGGCCTTAAAGGAATAGTTCAACTCTTTTGATGTGGGACTCTTTGGGAATGTTACACACAGCTGGCTGATAGCATGGGCGTAACCGCCATAGGTACGGGGTGGGACATGTCCCCCCACACACTTTTTTCAGCCGAAGCAGAAAAAAAAGACCTTTAAAAAAACGTGTCGTCCCCACACCCCTCCCCACTTTTAAGATGGTGATTACGCCCATGGCTGATAGGGTTGGGCAATGTTGACGTAAAAGTTCATTACGATTAATAAAGCATTTCATAGTTAGAAATGAACACAAATGTGCGTACGTGTAGCGGGCCGACGTCACACATTTATCGGGAAAATGCTGAGGTTGCTATGAAAATGCCATTGTAATTGCACAAATTCATCTGTTAAATGCACACCATTATACAGACCCAATGTATTTGCTCCAAACTTTCCTTTAGGGTCGTAGATGAGATTTGTCTTAAATATCTAAACTATAAATGTACACTTTGAGGATTTGCACAATTCCAATGGTGTTTTCATAGCTACCTCAGCCTTTATCCAGTTGACCTGTGACCCAGAAGAATAGGCTTCACTGTGCACAAAAACATAATAACTACAAAATGGTCATTTAGCCGATAACCATTAATATAACATTTAGATGATACCTGCATGTAGCCAACACTGTGGCCTCCTTGGTCCAAATTTTCTGGCTTCCCTCGCACCCCTGTTTATGTTGGAGTTTCAGGTGATTAAACAGGTTCGTATGGTTAGGGTTAGCGTTCCACCATTGCACTTGCTTGCACGCCTGATAGTGATAGTATGTTGCACACTAAAATACATCATCATCACATGGCACTATTTGCAGTAATTGCAAAGTGGCAAATATTAACTTTTGACAGTTTTACTGAGGATTAATTGCACACAGTACAATTTTGCCCAATCCCTATTGCCTGAACATTAAAATCTAAGAATAAGGTTGCTGCAAGAAAACAGCAGTCTACTAACCTTTGCTTTTTTCCAACTAGTCATTACTTCATGACTTCTGTAAAATTTTATCGCTATTTTTTCTAAACTGAAACTGTTCAAAACTTTATCCACAACACGTAAGTGTATGCAGCAAACAAAACTTTAGCACGGCCTATGCAGGCGAATATTAGTTTAGTATTAAGGTTCGTTTATTTTAAAAGGTAATCCATTTGCAGATTATACAGATTTAAAACAACTGAAATATACCTCAGATCATTTACCTAAAACAAAATTACATTCAGGAATTGCCTTTTTTATATATATACACAATAAATCCAGTGTTTCCCCTACCATTATACAGTCCCCCCCGCCAACGAGACGGCCCGCCCCTCTAAGAATTTCACGACATGTAGTCATTTTTATTTAAATAAGGCCAGATCAAGTCGAGAGCTATTTTTTGCGTCCCTCCATATCCACCTCTCGCCAAACTTGGGGAAATAGCTGGCGCAAAGCGAGGCTGAACGCTGTGTGTGGTCCTCACAAAGATAGGAAGACGGTTGTGAGATTAGACGCGCAGCTCTGCTTTTAATCACGTAGCACCGATGCGACAGCTTTGTAAGCTACTTTTTCTTTCTTTAAAAGAAAATGTGACAGGTGAAGCCACAGCATGTTTACCTTATCAATTACTGCCTTTTTTTCTTTCTCTGTGGGTGGGGGGGTCAGCTTCACTCAGCTGCAGATGAACACCTCCCGGGAACGCACACATTTCCTGGACTATTTTCCACCGAGGATTACGTCGTATTTTATATTTATTATATTTCTAAAAGCACTTCGCAGGATTTCCCCTGTGTGTTCACGTCACGAGTGTAACAAAACCGCAACGGATCAGCTGACTGTTTTTAAAGTGAGTGCAGCGAACATGTCCACCTGCAGCTCGGCTCCGACCAGCCCGGGAGTTCATCCATGTCAACCCCTTCACACGTTTAACGTGTATAATGAGCATCAAATATCTGTAATTTGTGCAAAAAAAATCAGTATTAATAACGCGGGGTGGGTGGGGGGAAGGTATTTTAAAGACGTGTCAACATTTGACTTTTATTTTTTCTAAAATCACAGAGTTCTCTGAGTCAGCTTCAGATGTTTGTAGTTAACCATAATACCTTCTGTTATGGTAATTATTTATTTAACAACAGAGACAGAAATACGTGGTCCAAGAATGAAGGTACTCCATGGGATGATCAGCTGAGTTTTATTGCAACAACAGGAAACACAGAGAACCTGGCCTGTCTCTGTCCCTCTGCTTCTCTCTGTCACTGTCTCTCCACACTACTGTTGAACTCTGTTGTACCCTGTGTCTCGAGAGGCCTCATATATATATTAACAAACACCATTATGCCATCTTAGCAAGATTTGATACAAGGTCAATGGAAAACACAAAGATAAACACAAGTGATATCTAAGAATGACTGTTGTTAGCAAATCTTGTTCTGACTTTAATCATTCTGTCTGCAGATGAACAGAATGTCATGAAAACCTAGGTCATTAAAGGATGTCATGAATTACTTGCTTAAACATAAAGTATTAGTTCTATTACACCGAAAAACACCAATTCCGATACGGCCGAAAAACCACCTCATCCTAGCGCAAAAATATTTTGTCAAAAAACGTAATTTTTTTTCAAAACCGACGTGT